TAGCAAAGGGGGTAGAGTCCATGTAGCAAAGGGGGTAGAGTACATGTAGCAAAGGGGGTAGAGTCCATGTAGCAAAGGGGGTAGAGTCCATGTAGCAAAGAATCAGTCATTCAATGTTTCGAGATTTAAAGTGCAACAGGCTATAACTTCACAAGAAATTGTCGAAACACTATATCCTTACTTCTTTCAACATCTTGAGTAATATCATGAATTTTCATTTGAAATCTCTTAATCAAATTTAACATATCGTTTATGCACTATACCTTTCAGCCGTTGTCTATTTTCAAATTGTTCTTAATCTTCATCTATATTATTTCTAATTTAACAAAATTCCATAATTTGTTTATCTACTTGACAAATACATTACCTTGGAACTGTGAGATATCAATATTTTGGAAGTCATAGTTTCCGGATCCTGCCAACCGTAAACTCTCCTTTAGCGTGTCAACATTCTGAAGCCAATCTGTCAGAGAGCCTCCAAATGACGGTGCTTGACCTGAAATGACATGAAACAGGGGCTACCTCAGTTACAAAGTAACTTGTGTCAAATCCCAACCTTTATAAATGGTCTTTCTTTACTACTGGCATAATGTCAAAAAAGATAAATATCATAAAAGAATACAAAAAGTATACATATTCTCAATTTTTTTAATTTGATTTTTGTGGGAAAATATTTGATGTTTTGTCAAATTTTCTTGGCATTATCAATTATCAGAATTTTATATATTTAAATATTTGCTTTAAAGATAATATTAAAAAATTCACTGTTTCCATCTTTTCATGAAAGGAGACAATATTTCTACAACAGATGTGCATAAAATAAACTATACTTTTTTTATTTAAAGAGGTTTGTTATAATTTTGGAGAAAACAGGATGAAATGAAAATGAAAAATGATGCTGCAAGATGAATATCTTACATTCAAAAGTCAAAATAATTTTCCTGTATGCACATGATGTAAATGAAATGTTCAATCCAAACCAAAGCAAATTAATAAAACTCAGGTCATTTCTAAAGTATATTTCTACAGTACTCTTATTTTTGTCTGAGCAACATTACATATTATCACAAAAATATCAGGTGCTGCACATTTAAAACACCTACTACATAATTTATATTTTCTCCTATTGCTGTCAAGACAAAACAACTGAAAAACTACAATCATTATTACAATGTAATAATGGGAGAAATTCGACAAAAATTGTTCAGGTTTTAATTTGGAAGTTGGTTATGTTAAAAGCCTTAAAACAAATATAATTGGCTAGCTATAGGAAGTAGTATAATTACGGTAACAATTAAAATATCACCTTATAATTTAGGAAACTGTCCAAAATGTACAATGACTTATACTGTAGGTTACTGAAATTTTCTGATATTTACCAAGATAGATGTGAAGAAGCTGAGATAGGATTATATGATTATATATGATTTTACAAAAGGAAGACCAAAATACAAGGTTGTGTCAGTGAGCATGAGGTTAAGTAAATGGAAAGCTATATATAGGGTACATCAAATCAGGTGACGTTATGAAAGAGGTGACAGAAATTAGGTCTACTGCAAAACAGAATGTTGCTGATAAATAAATCTTCGGTCGAGGAGAAAATCAGTTTAAAACTTCCATCAGAAAAGCATGCTCGTGTCCTGTTATTGCCTATTTCTACATTTCTATCTCCCTAAACAAATTATAAAGCAATTTGAATACAACAAATAAATGGGCATTTACAAATCTAAGAATTCTTAAGAAGGAACGAGAGAAATCAAATAAGGGTAACACTTTTCAGTACAGCATAAAAATCTAAGCTAAAACTAGAAATTTGTACTGTATCAAATTTGTGGCAGGGTGTGGAAATCTGTATGTTAAAACTGAAAATTTGTATGGTTTAAAATTTTAATTTAAGTACATGTACCAAATTGATAACGACAATATTGTTCAAAATTAAGTGTTTTATACCCGACTGATTTTTCAAATCTATTCAAAATTCTACTTAAATATAAACTTTGTAACTATGAAAACTTTTGACTTTTACATATTTAACAAAATAATTGCTGAAAGATTTAAATTATTGCTGGAAGGAAAGGTGACTAGATTTGACTAAGTCTGCTTTTGATGGAATAATGACCAGTGAATAGATGAGAGGATGGGTTACAGATGCCAACAGTTAGCAGTGTTCTAAAAAACAAAGCAGTGTCTTGGTGGGTAGCAAAGGTCACGACCTTTACCTAAGTTCGTAGATCCATTCAAGAGCTTATTAATGTCAGGTTCTGGCAAAGTATCGATGTTGCTTTGTCCTACAAGAAACATACACAGTTGTCAGTAAACAGGGGACTCTCACTTGTCCATTTACCATTGTCACATAGAAAAGTGATCTAATCAAGCTAGAGACAATGGAATTACCAGACTGTTATAAACCTGTGTCTGCAGTTGTCACAGGAAAACTTGATTTATATTCCAAATTAACCATTGGTATTGGTAAATCTTTTACTTAGTTTTAAATGTTTATTTTCCTATATAAGTAATCCCATTCATCTTAACGACCCCACCTAACAAGGTAAATTAGAGAACTGTAGGGTCAGAACAATATACATGTTACTATCCCATGCAAAAAGATCATATTTAAAATCCATCTGATGCATTCTTGTATCAAACTTTTTGACAATATTGAAATTTATCACGAAAACGTACTACAATTGCACTGTGTTATTCAAACGAGTTTAACTATTTCATTAATGTTGTAAAAGGAGAAAATATATTGTAATTGAACTCACGGATTATTCAAATGCCATGTATAATTTGAAATCTTTTGAAAAATATTTATTTGTTTAGGAATTGGTTCCCTTCTCCTAAAACTCAAACCATAAGAAAATTACCCATTTGCCCAAAACTAACACAAATCTATAACAATTAAAACTGCAAGGACACATTTCGGCATTTATCAATCAGTTTAATTAAACACAGCCCTTGTCAGTGTGCAGTGTGCTAAATCATTACGAGCAGATCTCAATTTCTAACGTAGCCTTAGTATTTGTCAATTATAGTTATACCGGTCATGCCTACCAAGTTTAATCAAATGATATTTAATTAATTATCTTGCAGAAACCAAAGTGTGGACAGACAACACTTCCCAAACAATAATACAGTACACACTATCAAACTTTTGACCTGCACAAAAAAGCTTCAAAGTCATGCAATACAAAATGTATATATTTTAGGTAATATCACAAAGAAGGTTTATTTATTTTCTTCAATTTATAAATTGAAAACTTTAAATGTTTAAACACTTATCCTTGTGTTTCAACAAAGAAACTCCACAACAATAGACTTCGTGCATATTCAAAGAAAACAGCCCTTCATTTGCCAAAAATGGCAGGGTGGGAGAATGAAAGTCCTTTTTCAAACTGAATTCATCTTTATTTAGTCTATTCAATTTAGATGTTACACCTATTAATTTTATTTAAAGATTTATATTCCTATTGAATGGACTGATAGATATGGACTTGTAATACATGACTACAGTGATATACACCGGGTCTAAGGATTAAGGTTGGCTAACAATATACCTTACTTTAACACATCCTATACAAATCTGACATTGTATGTGACCTTTAACCTTCACTTGACCTCCAAGAATTCTACCCCTGAAATTATGAACAGTGCTCCTGACTACTCCAACTTTTCTAACAGATGAGATCATGTTTAATAGCCTTTCAACTTCCAATTAAAAATGACAACATTGAGGGAAAAAACTTCATGCTTGGGACAGGTAACTAAGTTAACTAGCTCATGCAACCCCCACCTTTGGCGAACAGAAATGTTAACAACCAGTTATACGTATTGCAATGCAGGTGATCTAAAAACAACAACAAAAGGAAATCTCAGCGGCATGCAATATCCAATGGATTTCAGCATATCTAGGGTAGGTATATAAACATGTACATCAGTGATAAACTATTAAAGTAAATCACATCTAATTTGCAAATATATTTTTACCTCTTTTCCTGATTATACTTAAACTGACTTAGGCTTTAGTTTCTAAGATTTTATTTTTATTATATGCATAGCCAGAAAAGAAACCTTGAAGAGAAACTTAATTAATTTGTTGGTCTCTGATAGAGAATTTGTTTACAATACAGCAGGAATACTGACCATTAATTTGTTGTGTGCAATTTGTACGTCAATTTCATTTGACCAAGAATGAAACTACAGAGTTAAGTTACCTGATGGATATAACAGTCGATGGATGCCAGATTATATAATTAACTTCAATAAGTAGTAATTACTATAATTATCCATTTCATTTACTGATGTCAGTCGTTGACCCTCAGTATTTGGCAAAAAGCAACACTAAAATCTGTTTGATAATCAATTCTCTTCGACTTTTATATAACTTCTATGAAGAAAAACAGAAACAGACCATGACTACGTCCTATCATCAAAATATGACAACAATAAAACACATGCATACATGTATCTCTATGTCATACGAACCATGCATAACTAATACAAAACAAACTTTAGGGTAAACAATGTCTGTATATAGATCTCCATCAATAGACATGAGGCCCACACACACTTAGCTGCATCATATATCTATCCTTGGCCTCTGGTGAATATTGCGCTTACACTTATTTGAAATAAGCATAAACACAATCTTCACCAGGGGTCTAGGATGCATATTTCTTGCTTATACGTATAATATGTATGTTTTATACAACATACATATTTTCAGTATAATGTTTTTTTGTAATTTCAGTCATATGCACTGAGAAGTGGAGGCTTAATATTAGCAGAAACAACTTTACGAAATAATTACATAAAATGTAATTGGCACTCTTTGTGTACGAAGTGGGCCATAATTTTGCTATAAATAGAATATAATTCTATATATAGACATCTATAAATAGACAAGTTAGTGACCTGGTGGTCCCCCTCCGCCTTCAACCATGGATTTGTACAGACTCCTAAAGGATGCACTAAGATCATCTATACCAGCGTGACTGTCCATAAACATTGGTGGTGGGGGAGGTGGCTGTCTCTGCTGCTGGGATGTCTGAAACCAAGTGGGTTACCATCATCTCAAATACAGGTAAATCATCATCTCAAATACAGGTAAATCATCATATCAAATATAGGTAAATCATCATCTCAAATAAAGGTAAATCATCATCTCAAATACAGGTAAATCATCATATCAAATATAGGTAAATCATCATCTCAAATACAGGTAAATCATCATCTCAAATAAAGGTAAATCATCATCTCAATACAGGTAAATTAACAAATCATGTCACAAAAACTTCAAGGCTTCTGTCATCTAAAATACAGGTAAATCATCAAATCAGGTCACAAATACTGCTCAAAGATACCGTCATCTCAAATACAGGTAAATTAACAAATCAGGTCACATATACTGGTCAACGCCTCAAAGGTACGGTCATCTCTAATGCAGGTAAATCATCAAAGCAGGTCTCATATACGGTCAAGGGTACTGTCATCTCTAATGCAGGTAAATTAACAAATCAGGTCTCATAAACGATCAAAGGTACCATCATCTCAAATAAAGATAAATCATCAATTCAAGTCTCAAATTTTGGTCAAATGTGGTCATCTCATACCGGGTAAATCCTCAAATCAGGTCTCATATACTGATCACAGGGCATACAATACATACAAAAATCTACTTGTCCGAACTGAAATTATGCTTTTTTTGTTTTTTAAATACTGTATGTGAGGAAATTTTCACCAGTTGAACTTTCACCTTTTTACATCCTCTGTGATAAGGGAAAATTCATCACAACAGTGAAATAAGTACACAATACACTATACATAGTAATATTTTGTGAAGGGCAAAATTAACACTTCAGGAAAACAAATTTACCAGTGAAGGTGAAGATTTGACTGTCTGAATGGGCAAATGTTTCCGGGCATACATCAATGTACGGGTGTAGTGATAATAATCTGTGAACCGCTTTGAGACGACCTACGAACCAGGTTGTGATAAAGGGGTATATAAGAACCTCAAATTATCATTATAAATTATCATTATTATTATTATTGCAAATGTTCTCACCAGACCCTAAAAATTGATGGCATTAGCCAAGTAGACTTTTAGACTGAGAACGCCGCAGTCATCTTGTATACCGGTAAGCAAGACTGAGAAAGCCACAGTCATCTTGTATACCGGTAAGCAAGACTGAGAAAGCCACAGTCATCTTGTATACCGGTAAGCCAGTCTCCTCATTATGAGTCAGTCATAGAGAAATTAATCCTACATGTACATAAAAAATGGGTCAGAACAAATATAATAATTAGATTACTTGGTCACATAAATCATAACTTACATAATATATCATCAAACAAGAGTACCGCGGGGTGGAACAAAATACGCCCATTGAGTGCAATAAATATACTTTCTTACAATGAAATAAGATCTGCATCATTCTAAGAGTGGTTAGCTGATATGCTATAAAAAATGTATCGGACAAAAAATCAAATACTGAAATGAACAAAAGGCAATACATTTTGCAAAAATCGTTGAATCAAAATTCTTTTAGGGGAGACACAACTTCATATCATGATTATAATGTATACCAAGTTTCAAAGAGATTCATTGATAAATGTAGGAGGAGATTGCCGGACAAAAATCAAATACTGAAATAAACAAAGGGCAATAACTTTTGGAAAAGTTGTCGAATCAAAATTCTTTTAAGGGAGACACAACTCCATATCATGATTATAATGTATACCAAGTTTTAAAGAGATCAGTAGAAAAATGTAGGAGGAGATCTCTGGACAAAAATCAAATACTGAAATAAACAAAGGGCAATGACTTTTGGAAAAATTGTTGAATCAAAATTCTTTTAAGGAAGACGCAACTTCATATCATGATTATAATATATACCAAGTTTGACGGTCGTATAAAAGTAAGGTCACAGTCGCTTCAAAATTATATAATAAATTATATTCAGATTAATTAAACTTTCCACATATTAGATTAATATAAATGTAGTAGCACTACTGAAATTGTAAAAACATTTCATTGAAATGCGTGTTGTTTTAATTGATTAAAAAGGTTCCTTAATTGTGCTGTCATTATCTTATCCAAATGTTTGCTGACTAAAACATCTAACTGCACCATTATCCCAACAGTTATCTTGCAGACATGACCACACAGCTGTGAAGTGTGACCTGTCCTTAGATCTAAAGCTTACCTGGTTGTTAGGTGAGACAGGCAATGGACATGTTGTCACCTGGACATTGAGTGTGGGTCCAGAACCCATACTGCTAGGACTTAGACTCAAACCTGACTCTGGACTGTAGGGGGAACCCTGAAACATGAAATACTCTGTAACATCACAAACTATGACTAGAACTTGTATGTGTAGGGCTCAGTCTTAACCTGACTCTGGACTGTAGGGGGAACCCTGCAACATTAAATACTCTTAACATCACACACCATGACTAGAACTTGTATGTGAAGGGCTTAAACCTGACTCTGGACTGTAGAGGTAACCCTGGAACATTAAATACTCTTAACATCACCCACTATGACTAGAACTTGTATGTGTAGGGCTCAGTCTTAAACCGGACTCTGGACTGTAGGGGGAACCCTGAAACATGAAATACTCTTAATTAACATCAAACACTATGACCAGAACTTGTATGTGTAGGACTCAGACTTAAACCTGACTCTGGACTGTAGGGGGAACCCTGGAACATTAAATACTCTTAACATCACACACTATGACTAGAACTTGTATGTGAAGGGCTTAAACCTGACTCTGGACTGTAGAGGGAACCCTGAAACATTAAATACTCTTAATTAACATCACACACTATGACTAGAACTTGGATGTGTAGGGCTCAGTCTTAAACCTGACTCTGGACTGTAGAGGGACCCTGAAACATAAAATACTCTTAATTAACATCACACACTATGACTAGAACTTGTATGTGAAGGGCTTAAACCTGACTCTGGACTGTAGAGGGACCCTGAAACATAAAATACTCTTAATTAACATCACACACTATGACTGGAACTTGTATGTGTAGGGCTTAGTCTTAAACCTGACTCTGGACTGTAGAGGGAACCCTGGAACATTAAATACTCTTGATTAACATCACACACTATGACTAGAACTTGGATGTGTAGGGCTCAGTCTTAAACCTGACTCTGGACTGTAGGGGAAACCCTGAAACATTAAATATTCTTAATTAACATCACACACTATGACTAGAACTTGGATGTGTAGGGCTCAGTCTTAAACCTGACTCTGGACTGTAGAGGGACCCCTGGAACACAAAATACTCTTAACAACACACACTATGACTAGAACTTGTATGTGTAGGGCTCAGTCTTAAACCTGACTCTGGACTGTAGGGGAAACCCTGAAACATTAAATATTCTTAATTAACATCACACACTATGACTAGAACTTGTATGTGTAGGGCTCAGTCTTAAGCCTGACTCTGGACTGTAAGGGAAACCCTGAAACATTAAATACTCTTAACTAACATCACACACTATGACTAGAACTTGTATGTGTAGGGCTCAGTCTTAAACCTGTGTGAAGAACTCCCGACTGAGATACTTTAGGTAGCCAGGAAACCTTGAAACACAAAAATGCTTGAACATTACATGCTGAAGCTGGAAAACCAAACAAATTCCAGACAGTTACGGAACCTTAAGCACAAAAATGTTTCAAGATTACACACTGAGGCCAGGACAAACCAAACTCCAAACAGTTAGGGAACAATTCAACACAACAAATATCTCAAAAGTACACACTGGGGCCAGGACAAACAAAACTACAAACAGTTGGGGTACAATTCAACACAAAAAATATCTCAAAAGTACACACTGGGGCCAGCACAACGACCCCAAGTCCAGGGTACCTTAGTCAATATTTTTTCCCCAATTTACAGCATATTTTGTCATTGTTTCATGTTCTGAAAATATTGAAAATTGGGGAAATGAAATATAACTGAGAGGTGGAGTGGTCTGAAGGAATCTTGTCAAAGCTCTGTATACGTCTAACATTAACCACCACAGCTATTTATATTTAATATAGGGAAAGGTGATTACAAACCCACATAAAACCTTGATACTATTATAACATCACAGCATCGACCGGTTCTGCTTCACCGACAATCTACCCGAGTCTACCTAGTCACACAGATCAATACTACTGAAAAGGGAAACCCCCACCAACAGTCCATCCATAACTAGTCGACACACAAGCCAAATTGATAGGGAAAGGATATCAACCTTCAATACAATCAATTCTGGGCACAGGATCATTTCATTTGAACTGTCCTGCAATTTGGATCAATATAACATAAATGTTATAACGTCAGCCAAAAGATCACACGTCAAGAAAGGCGCGGAGCTCAGCCTACTGTAATATTGATGGCATACATCAGCTATTCAATGCGCAGAATCAATTTGCACAGTGGCCTGTCAGCCAGAGCTGTAACACACCTACATCTATCTTATATTTTAATTAGCTGACAGTTGCTATAACACACCTACGTCTATCTTCTATCTTAACTAGCTGACAGCTGCTATATAACACCTACGTCTATCTTATATCTTAACTAGCTGACAGCTGCTATATAACACCTACGTCCATCTTATATCTTAATTAGCTGACAGCTGCTATATAACACCTACATCTATCTCATATCTTAACTAGCTCACAGCTGCTATATAACACCTACGTCTATCTTATATCTTAACTAGCTGACAGCTGTTATATAACACCTACGTCTATCTCATATCTTAACTAGCTGACAGCTGCTATATAACACCTACGTCTATCTCATATCTTAACTAGCTGACAGCTGTTATATAACACCTACGTCTATCTTATATCTTAACTAGCTGACAGCTGTTATATAACACACCTACGTCTATCTTATATCTTAACTAGCTGACAGCTGTTATATAACACACCTACGTCTATCTTATATCTTAACTAGCTGACAGCTGTTATATAACACACCTACGTCTATCTTATATCTTAACTAGCTGACAGCTGTTATATAACACACCTACGTCTATCTTATATCTTAACTAGCTGACAGCTGTTATATAACACCTACATCTATCTTATATCTTAACTAGCTGACAGCTGTTATATAACACACCTACGTCTATCTTATATCTTAACTAGCTGACAGCTGTTATATAACACCTACATCTATCTTATATCTTAACTAGCTGACAGCTGTTATATAACACACCTACGTCTATCTTATATCTTAACTAGCTGACAGCTGTTATATAACACCTACATCTATTTTATATCTTAACTAGCTGACAGCTGTTATATAACACACCTACGTCTATCTTATATCTTAACTAGCTGACAGCTGTTATATAACACCTACATCTATCTTATATCTTAACTAGCTGACAGCTGTTATATAACACACCTACGTCTATCTTATATCTTAACTAGCTGACAGCTTCTATACAACACCTACATCTATTTTATAACTTAACTAGCCGACAGCTCATATATATATACCTTATTTCTTAACAAACTGACAGCTGCTAATAGGATACCACTGACAAACTCAATGAAATTATTTTTTTAAAGTTTATATAAAGCCTTACCAATTATTTTAAACAATTCCTCATTATTATACATTAATTGAGGAGATGAAAATGTTTACAGGAAAATGTCTGTGTCAAAATATATTTCAAAAAGAACCACAGCAGTATCATTTGAAATTTAAGATTAAAATTTGATGGTATAAAAATATATAGTACTGTAGCCAGTTAATACAATTAACAAACTTTTAAAGCATCTATATGTACGTCATGTAAAACAACGTGGAGAAATATCAATCATGCATTATGTATACCTATTCTCCAGAATATACTGTACAATTTATTAATGAATTTTAAATGCGACATCATTTCAGCTTGAAAATGCTGGATTTAAATGGACAAAATATAAGCTTTAATTCAGAACAAGCCATTTATGATTAGAGATCTAGAGCCTTGAGCTCCCGCTCTACTGAACTGATCCAGTGTCACGCACTCACACTCTACAAACCTGTCTGGGTCGAGATTATACAAATCAGGAAATAATGGAAGGAACCTTTTTTGAATGTTTATCAAATTGCCACTTTAACTGATGAACAATTGTAGGAAACTTGCTAGTACTTGTTGATCAACATGATGATGATTATATATATTTTTCACAGCATGGGTATGATAGTGGTATAATTATACCGACCACAAATACATTTATCCTACTAACACACAGGTGTATATATAACATCAGGCTTCTATATATAGTCACTGTATGTTTGAATAGGAGGAGCATGAGGATTTGTAACTGAGAAAATTTGTTTTCAAATTATCTTATTTGAATTTCTTAAAGAGTTATAATAAATAGTATATTTTCAATTGGGAAGGGGAAACAAAATAGGCCTTGAAAATCAGACTGATTTTTTTTTAAATGTAATTTTAAGGGACCGTCCAGAGGGTTCAGAAATAATGTTTAGCACAGTAGCACTAAAATTTCCATAATAAAATCAATTAAGAAATGATTTGCGAATTTCCCAAACTCTGTACCATCCTTACCCTGTCAGAGAGGATAAGCTTGCGTTTCTTGTGTCGTGCAGGAAGGGGATCGTCGGGAGGATTACTGTCTATAGCCCAGTACGATCCCTGTAAAACAAGATTTAAAACACAACTTCATTTTAATCAATCAGTCAATATGCAATACTATGGCAGAAGACCTTGACTGTATATATATATGATTTTTTACGATCACCTTCAGTTTAGAGTTTCAACATTTTTAGATGAAGTGTCCTGAACATGAACTTACAATTAAGGATGTATTTTGATAATTCAATACAGTAATTGTTCTCATAATTTCTAATTGAATGCATGTATTGGGGTTTCAATGAGACGTATATCTCACAATACGATACGTATTGTGGTACAATGCTTACAATACGATACATATATCTCATGATACGATACGTATTGTGGTACAATGCTTAAAATACGATACATATATCTCACGATATGATACGTATTGTGGTACAATGCTTACAATACGATACATATATCTCACCATACGATACGTATTGTGGTACATTAATGCTTACAATACGGTACATATATCTCACGATACGATACGTATTGTGGTACATTATTGCTTACAATACGATACATATATCTCACGATACGATACGTGTTGTGGTACATTAATGCTTACAATACGATGCATATATCTCACGATACGATACGTATTGTGGTACAATGCTTAATATACGATACATATATCTCACGATATGATACGTATTGTTGTCCATTAATGCTTACAATACGATACATATATCTCACGATATGATACGTATTGTGGTACATTAATGCTTACAATACGATACGTTTCATGATATAAATATTTGTTTAAAAAATGCAAACTTCATAATGATTTTTGTCAAAGACTTAAATAGTAAATAAAAAAAATGTACTATCGAAACCTATTTTTGTATAATTTCTAGTACTTTTGGGTATGACTGCACAGTGGAACACATCTTTACTAAAGAATTAAAAAATGTATAAGTATGTACACTTTTTTAGAGTTTGATAAAAATTGATTGTGTTAATATATTGCGATACAGGAAAGCGATGCATTTCCATATATGACACAAGAAAGTATTGCAATATGACACAATACAATATACATCATTGCAGTCCTAGCATGACTAATAGTTATAGCTTTACAAAAAACAACAAAATAACGCATAAAGCATAATATAGAAAATACTATCATGTTTTCAGGATGGAATGGTGCATGTGAGTTGCAGATGTTTTGGAACCCTGATCAATATAACTGTTTGTACTATGTAAATTCCAGCTTTGTTGATCCAACATCCAAGGTCAATCTATTACATTTCTGGTAATCCATTATACTCTCAAGTATATTTGTACATGTACAGGGCCACACTAAAACATGGATAGGTCTATGAATTGAACTGATCATGCATATGATTATGACGCATCCAAAAAACTTGTATTGGCTTAAAACTTCAAATGATCGTAAGCATGTATGCTGGCTGCTGGAAGTTCTTGTCAAATTAAACGGGGTACTTTATGGAGATTTATATATTTGACCTTCCTGACAACTACTAAGGACAATTCCATTCATTGGCAGTGTTAGCAATGACTTGTAAAACCCTACATTCATTGGTAGTGTTAGCAGTGAGTATACTCCATTCATTGGTAGTGTTAGCAGTGAGTATACTCCATTCATTGGTAGTGTTAGCAATGAGTTGTAAAACCCTACATTCATTGGCAGTGTTAGCAATGACTTGTAAAACCCTAACGTGTACAAATTCAGTCAGTTCTTTTCTTACACTTGGCCAACTACACCAATGCCTGAGCTAGATCTGTTGACATATGACTTGAGTTTCAACTATCTGTACAAGCATTAATGTGATAATGTGGAAACCCTTCACATGACAATCAACATTTGTTGAGAACAGATTTAGCACTACTGTGACCTAGTTCTGATTAACAATGAAGTTAATTCAACTTTATACCAATTTTTGTTTTATCTGCAACAAGGCAATTATGCTTGTGATAATTCCCTGAGCTTGGATTTTAAATGATCTCTTCTTTAAGATTACACAGGGTATCAAGTTCTAACAAATTGGTAGAATATGATGTATGCAATCATGTACAGAGTATAGAGTGTCCTAAAGTGACATCTTGCAATTACCACCAAGATTACAAGATAAGCTCTTAATTCAACATGACTACTAACTGATGTATATAATTTGGAAATCTTATGGATGTATCAAATAGAATTGGGCATGTATGATAGATCCCAACCCCATGATCTGTAGATGTATGATAGATCCCAACCCCATGATCTGTAGATGTATGATAGATCCCAACCCCATGATCTGTAGATGTATGATAGATCCCAACCCCATGATCTGTAGATGTATGATAGATCCCAACCCCATGATCTGTAGATGTATGATAGATCCCAACCCCATGATCTGTAGATGTATGATAGATCCCAACCCCATGATCTGTAGATGTATGATAGATCCCAACCCCATGATCTATAGATGTATGATACATGATAATTATTTAACACTGAAAACTAACTCTATATTTTTAGTTTAAACCTTGTTCATATAATTCAACCACAACTATATATATAATTGGCAATTAATACATGTAATTGGTATAGCCAACAGACTGTATAATCTGATACCCTGCATGTAGTATAATTAGTAACTGTCACCTCCTGATCTCAGTAGAACATGGGTTGTGTCCGTCGATGTCAGTGCCATAATTTCAGTTAAATCTTCAAAAATAATTCAACATACCTTATTACAATTGCAAAGATAATGAAGGGTATAAAAAAAATATGTATTCATACTTACTTTTCCTGGGTCATCTTTAGATCTTGGTACTTTTAAAAAACATTTGTTAAGTGATAAATTATGCCGTATTGAATTCTGAAAAGAAAAAAAGAAAAAGAAAATTAAAGCACAACCTCATGAATTTCTGAAACAATACTGTAAAAATATAATGTCTGTGTCAGTTAAAATATTTCTCTATTTAAAACAAACATTTCTACTCTGGTTCTAACTCGAGTCAATGTTTAAATTTCTTAACTTTGAAATTCTTCTCCGAAATCTATCACTTCTTGTACGATGATCAAATGCATGTCAGGAAATTCCTGAATACAGATACCTTAACATTGAATGATTAGATTGGGTCTCCTTAAAACAATTCCAACAAAAATCATCATTTTTCTAGCTACCATATAATTTATTATAGAATTAACTACTACATCCTAAAAATATTAATACCAGTAAATATAACTGACAAACTGTTTTGCTTTGAGCAATGGCATTGTGATGGTGACCCATCCATAATCAGCACCAGGTAAAATGAACAAAAATGCCAAAACCTTGTATTTTAAGACCAGAAATCGGGTTAGTAGTTTCCAATTTCACCAGTCCATATATATACTTAACTTCAACTAACCCAATATGATTTCATTAGTCCAAGACTATTGCGCTGCCCTTATTGTCTAGCCCTGATTTGTATAGGTATACCACATGCATGCTCTCCCTTTAATAATTAAATCCCAATGTAGCAATATTGGTGAATTAATGCAAGTGAAAAAATTAAGGGTGTCACAATACGCCAAGAGTGTATATATATCACGATATATTGCAATACAGAATGAATATATTGCGATACGTATCTCGATATATTGTCATAGAAAAGATCTGCTTGATTTTATAAGTTGTTGTCAGAATATTATCAAACTTAATCATATATAATATGGATCACATAGATTTAAGATTTTTGTCAAACCAACCATTGATTACAAAGTTTGAAATGATTCCCACCACTATTGGCATATCTGTTAGAATTTGTAGTAATTTGCAAAGTTAAATTACCAAGCAGAATGAGATACATAAAAATAAGGTTTTAAAAAATATTGTGATACAGCAATATTTCATCTCTGTATTGTAGTAAGATACGATATACCTGTGTATTGCGATATACCCGTGTATTGCGATATACCTGTTTTCCAATATATTGTGACAGCCCTAAAAAAATCAAACAGCAAGGACTTAATTCAAACTGTGGAAAAAGGTCTGTATTAAAAATTAACAAAAGGCCATAACTTCATACAATTAATTCATTACAGGGTCATACACAAGACTAAATCCCAGGACGTACATATAAACTTGTATATATATACAAAATTTGGCAATTTTAGTATCTAGAATATATATTACATAGGCACCAAACAAAGGATTGGTGAAAAAATAGCTTTAATTAATTGCTATATATATATCTTCTTAATTCACATAGGTCCAGGATTAGAACATTTAGGTAGAAGCACACTGTATACTATGTAAAGTAATACAGCCTTAGATACACTTGCACCCACTCTTCTATCCTCACTGACCCAGTTTTTGACCTCATTTTGCCCCTTTCTGTATGTATGTGATTATGTATACCCTATTATGTAACATGGAGAGGTCAAGTAATAGCTTAAGGCAAAGATAAGGACCTTAGGCATCTGTCAGAGCCCTAGCTACTCTTCATGATTGTAATTATCAACACCCAAAGGTCAACAGGGGGCAGTCATCAGGTACATCAGCCGGCCATACACACACATGTGAGTGTATTTACAGTATATGTATAGTGGTTTTTATTGCCTAGCATACAGACTGCTTTCCCTTACCAGAAAGTTTTATTTTCCCAAAATGAAGGGAAAATAAAGAATATCTTCCAAAGTTCTAAAAAAAAATATTTCAAGATTTTCCTAATTCATGTAGGAATATATAGGTAACTGTAAACTTAAGGAAGAAAACATACTGGTGTAAGCATCTACCAGGTAAATACCAGCATTGGGTGATGATCTAGCTATTATAATAATGAAACAGAATATAGATTCCAGTAGACTTTCATTTAAGTTATCAATCACAATGAAATGTACCCTTATAAGTATAATGTATCGATGCAATTTAATAATCAAATGATACCAGCTGTAATTATATTATAATTCAGCATGTTTCCTTATCAGGGAAATACAACACTTAGTTCAATGATAAATAGCCAGTCGAGTCGACGTATTAGCCACTGCAGAACATGATCACCCTTCTATAGCTTTATAAAGTTTATACCGTTATTAATATAAGGTGGAAGAGAAATAATGGTGTATTTCAGGTTATTTGCAATAGCCAATGTGGTATAGATTATACACTTACAATGTATATAAGATGGATCTGCATGTTTTACAACAAGAAAGTAAGATGAATATTTCAATTACATGTACCTATATATATACATGTATATACAGTTACAAACCCAAGGACAGACAATAGCATATCTTACGGTACAATTAATCCTGTGATATGTCTACCTATTTTCCACAGGTACACGTGTCCGGCTACTTTGGAAAAATTAACATCTAAAAAAGGATGATTTGGGGAAATAAAGTGATTTCTGCAATGACATTAGGAAAATAAACAAGAGGCCCGAGGGCCTTAGCAGTCACCCGAGTTATATTATAGGTACTGGTAGCTTTATTTTATTGTTTAGATGTGATGGTGAAATCAGCATGTAAACTAAGTGAAATACAATACTTGTCATGTCATCAAAGGATAAGAATTTTTAAATATTGGTACATGTTCCCTTTGGGGCCCGCCTTAGCCCCTGGGGATTGGGCAGGAATTCCAATTTTACAATGTAATACACCCATCCACCAAAGATGATTCTGACCAAGTAAGAATAATTTCAAACTGAAAATTGTCAAAATATACACAAAAGTGTTGTTTCCCTTTGTATAAACTATAGTAAACTTTACCCCCTCCCCAAGGGAGAACGAATAGCTCGGGGGTCCTGAAATTTACAATTTAAATAAAGCCCTTGATGATTTTTCCATCCATGAAGAGAAAATGACTGTAGTACACTGAGTCTGGAGAGGAAGATTTTTGAAATATTGGTTAATTTTCCCTTTGTGGCCCCACTCTGGCCCCAGGGGTTGGGGTAGGATTCCAAATTTTACAATTTTGTAGCCTCATCTACCAAGGATGATTCTGACCAAGTTTGAAAAAAATCCATCCACTGGTTCTTGAGAAGAAGTTGAGAATGTAAAAGTTTACGCATGACGACGGACAGAAAGTGATCGGAATAGGTCACTTGAGCAAAGCTCCGATGACCTATAAAGGAAATTATCAGGGGAAAGGGGCCTTATAATGACCATAAATTCACCTTAAAATATCACTGCAATCATACATGTTATATATATATGGCGAACAGATGAAAACTAAACTGCATAATAGTAATATTTTTGAAGTTCAGCTTTCATATTGTGGGTTTCTGGTTTCGATTCCATATATAAAGCTTACTGCTATCAACCAAATTTTTCTTGGTTCTTTAATTCACTGGACTGTTTAATGAAGTACGCTTTTTTTATGACAAGAGCCTTTGTTTGGGACATTATATTTAGGGCTGTTACGAGTACCTGAATACGGTTCGATTTTGATTGGAACCAGGGTACGAAAATGTGTACCTGGGTACCAATCACAATAGGAAACTGTCTACCATTGTCAGTATCAACTGACACAAAGAATTAAAATATTTCAATATATTCAGTCATATGCTTTTATTTTACTAACCAGGAACATCATCTTATTGTATTGCAAAATGTTTGCATGCAACATTGTTTTCATTTTCATTTCTCACGACTGCAAATTAGCCTCAGAAAATACACTGTATTTCATTACTCTTTGTGTAATATGTGCTTGTGTTGCTTCCAATTGCACATTAGTGTGCAGTAAATATGTTAACAATCTGATCTGCTCAGCAGCAAATGTTACCACAGTTTTTGTTTCCTAACATGCAAAATTGTTTATCGTTTATCGTACAGTTAAAAATGGGTCAATTTATAAAGGAATTTGAATGATACTCTCGTCAACGAAGCATAGCGCACATTTATTTTGAGATTTTGGGCATTGTGGCAATGGGGAAACAGGCAAGGAGAAACACACTCTTTGGGGCTATAGAAAACAATTTGGAGATACAAAAAATAATTGTACAACATTGCGATATTGTGACAGTGGGGCATCCTTTAAGTAGCAACAGGTGCCAAGTTTCTTTGCCAATGTCCTTGCAAATGTAAACAATAAGAACAAACTTGCTGTATGCCTGCAGCTGTGTAAATAAGTGTAAGGCAAGGGAACAGCACAGAAACAGATCCTCCGCAATAATCATGATAACACTTTGAAACATACACTAGTCTAGTGATATCAAACTTGAAGTAAGGAGATTGATGTATTTACATATTCATATCAAGTTATTTTAAGAACAAAAAATGTAAAAGCTGCAATAAATGCCAGGACCAATTGTGACGATTCCTAACATGAAACAAAATCAACATATTACTCTAATGAGCAATAACATTTGACAACATTCCAAATTAATCTGGTGACCTAGCAAAAATACCAAAACCGACAAGTGACATTCTATAACCATTACGACACATCCCGAAAACTGATGCCTGTATTAAACAAATATGGCATCATCCCAGTTTGTTTTCATTCTAGTTGTAGCACTGTACTGTCACTAAATATAGCCGTGTGTACCACTATGCCAGTTTAAGTTGGCGTAATATTGAATCTGTTGGCACATATTTTTCTGATCAGCACATTACAGAACGTCCTCGTCACTCACCTTCCAACCATTCCCCGCCTCTTTATAATAAGGAAAGTTATCACATATCCATTGATATATTTCACTTAATGTCATTTTCTTTCGTGGTGAACTATTAACAGCAAATGTGATTAAATTAGCGTAGCTATAAGGTGGCTTTCCGTCCCTTTGACCAGTTACTTCATTTTGGTCTAAAGTTGCACTCGTATCTAATGGTGAATTCGGCCCTTTCCGTAAAGCAACATGTCCACAACTTCCTTTCGATAATGCACCATTAGTCGCCCCTTCCTTTCCGACGGCAGCTCCAGCCATCGCGCCTCCAACAGTTAATCTTGGAAGCCAGTCCATGGCCGTGAGTGAACTCTCCAAGTCCGCCATCTTGGTTATTTGGATATCATTGACCGCTTCACCAATGACGAAATCGCGTAAGGATATCCATTCTCAATATCGATATTTCACTGTTATATTTTGGCTATCATATGTTATTTCTTATGATGATTAGTTTTCAATTAAAACATCTTGTGTCATTCATTTATTTTCTTAGATTTCATTCAACAAATCACAAACATTTATTTTGTGCGTTTTGTTATCGCGTAGTTGTAAGACTATTTGCCACCGAATGGCTTCATTACCCCCAGCAGTGTTGCATAGCAGCGCAAAGTGCCCTCTATGATGAGAATCCGCGGGAGTTTCATCTAGTTGAAAATGAAAGTAGAACGTTACATTACGTAACGTCATTGTAAACATTGGGATAGTATGCAACAGACTTATTTTATTTAATTAGTTAATTTATTATAAAATAAACAATATAGATGTGTAAATATATATCCTTATCCTTATTATGGTTGCGTCTCATTTAAAAATGAAGCTGTTTTAAAATGTAAACAATATATTCGACCCCATGATCAGAATCAGTACGGCAGTATCATAATAGGCTAACATGTGGTGAAAACATTTGGTGATCCATGCATTTTGTTTTAGAATAAGTGAAAAATAGGTTGCTGAAGTGCTTGTTCACCGTTGAATTAATACATTTTAGGTTTAAAATATTATTTTAAGTCTAGCTGTTCAATCTCATCTCATAGGTAAGACATCAATGGAAAGCCTGTGGCTTGTAATGATGTTATTTATCTGCATTTCGTTAATTTATTGGTTGATGATGGAGTGCGCGAAGAATGGCATACATATTGTATGTCATTATATATATATATATCTAGACGTCAAGTGAAGTCTAATTGTCGCAATAGTGTTAATTAATATTTACACATCGTAGATTAAAAGGACGGATAAAATGTGTGTGCATGATCTTTCCAGTGCACGTTTAACCTATTTTTAAAAATTTCAAACTTTCAGCATTAACCACTTCAGCTGATAAATTGTTCCAATTTGTAACTACACGATTGCTGAAAATGTTCTTGGTGGTGTTTAAGCGGCATTGTTTCTTAACGAGCTTTATATTAGAGATATATCAATGATAATGGTTTACTTTTAAATCGAGTTTAAATTGCATATTTCAACAATCACTTTCAGTTTTTGCTTATCAACAAATGTGTGAACCGATTTTAGGGACGTGTAGAACTATAAGGCGCTGATTAGCTGTGTTTGTTTTTCCAAAAATAATTTCTAGAATTATATGATATTACATAAACATGATTTTAATTTTTAAGTATATCGATTTGTTGATAAGTATACGGCAAATCTGAATAAAACAATTCTATCATTCCGATAATTATGATAACTCCAATATTTTATTTTTGGTTTTTAGTTTTTAGTTTAAACATATATTATTGCTTCTAAATTCAAGCAAGAGTTTTGGGCAGAAGTTATGACAAAAGCCCTCTCCTCAACAATTGTACTACAACAATGTGATAGCGACAATAGACATATATGTACATTGTTATACCATAAAAAGAATTTGGAGTTTTTATTATAACTTACAAATCATTTATTGCACATCTGATTTTGTTCCTATATGTTATAAAAGGTTATTATTGGGGGGGGGGGGGGGGGGGGAAATCTATCAATATGAATTGATATAAATACAAATATCATGGTTATGTCAGAGTCAATGTTAGGTGAACCCCGCCTCTCCCGTTAATTTCTAGTTCTATAGTCTAGCAGGCACGTGCTTTTCATGATGCGTGTTCTTTATTGTTCGTATTAAACACAAGATAAGACGTAAAGGAGGTAAATGAAAACTGTTTAACGAGCCTCTAACAATTTGAATTTTCATGTTTAGATCCAACTTCTCTGCCCTTTAAATTATACATTTTATATGAATAATTAACCGCGTAGGAGACTGGGATTTCCGTCTGATACCCGCCTTCCATTGGCTACGACTAAATTCGATAATGCCAAATATACACATACTCTCTACGTATACGCTTACACAAGGTTATCGGTATTTTAAGGTGACGTAACAATGTGTATCAGACGACATAGTAACCAACTATTTACACGTATACAACTGTGGGTATATATGGTGAGATATTTATTTTTACTACATGGGACTCTCCACCACCCACGCGACGTATCCGTCTGACCTATTTCCTTTGGACATGAAGCACGCGTCTGTTTAAATCATATGTGGACCTACTTTCTTTTGAATGGATAGCAGTGCAAGCAAGGACAGGTACTTTCGCGACAATACGCAATGTCGCTGTGAGTTGCAATAACGAGTTTTAAATATGATTGGTGACGGATATGAAACAACATGTTCCGGAGTTTTTCGCCTGATATTTCTCAATTCGTCATAGTGTAATGTTACGTATTTACGAACAAGGTTACTACCATTATTATAAATTACTTAAAAAAGCTTTTCAAGGAAGTTCTATTCAATTTTAGTTTTATTATTGGTATCGCCACGGACTTAGATAATCTAATTCCGTGGTCATACAGACTGTCTGAAAACCAGAGCCAATATAAAAACAGTATTTGAAACCGGCATTCGTTTCACATGAACGGTCAAAGGGAAGAGTTAGACAATCGATGGACAGTGTACGTACGTAGTTTGACCACAGGGCACACTATCGTTGGATAGGGAAGACTATTTTATATCTTAACAAGATGCAGATGCCAGTGGTTTGACTAAATTAAAGTTGCAATCATAAAGCTACAAACAAAAAGATAATAAACATATATAACAGTCACTATATAGAACTAAGAAGTGGAAATTCATTTTGATTATATATATAAATGTATATAAGTGGATTCTTTTTAAAAATAAATCTTGTGTACTTCGTGACGTCACGTTATTACTGTAGTGTGATGATATGTAATTGTGACGTCACGAAGTTCTTTTTTTTTAAAACCTGAAGAGCCCTGTGAAGGGTGAAAGCAGCTAGTTTTTTAGTCTTATTTTTTTTCTATATATAGGGAATAATACATGCCCTTTTCTATATCACACCCAGTATCAACCCGTGACTGCAATATCAGCCCAAGGGCCTTCGGCCCTTGGGCTGATATTGGTCGAGGGTTGATACTTGGTGTGATATGGAAAAAGGCGTGTTTTATTCTGTTTATTACATACTTACTAATAAAAACTACTATCTTATGATTTATTTTCATTTTTGAAATATTGAAAAACGATATTTTTTTCTAAATGGGGTGTGATATGGGTTTTGCGGGCTGATACGGGTTTTGGGGTGTGATACGGCGGGGGCTGATCATGAGTTTGGGGTGTGATACGGCGAGGGCTGATATGGGTAAGAGCAATTGTGTCGTATCGCATATACAAAAAACCCGTATTTATTAGTAAGTATGTAATACATAGAGAATAATACATGCCTTTTTCCATATCACACCCAGTATCAACCCGAGACTGCAATATCAGCCCAAGGGCCGAAGGCCCGAGTGCTGATATTGGTCGAGGGTTGATACTGGGTGTGATATGGAAAAAGGCGTGTTTTATTCTGTTTATTACATACTTACTAATAAAAACTACTATCTTATGATTATTTATTTTTTTGAAATATTGAAAAACGATTTTTTTCCAAAAGGGGTGTGATATGGGTTTTGCGGGCTGATACGGGTTTTGGGGTGTGATACGGCGGGGGCTGATACGGGTTTTGGGGTGTGATACGGCGAGGGCTGATATGGGTTAGAGCAATTGTGTCGTATCGCATATACAAAAA